GTTCTCATTTTTTCCCCCTACCCCTGCCCTCCCTTCACCCCTCCTCCCTTCCCTATTTACAAATACTTTATTTCCATTTTTTCATTTTCTCATATTTTTTCTTTTCCCTTATTTCCTTTCTCCTACCCGTCCCAGTTCCCCTACTATATTATGATTATTAACTAGCCGTACTAAAGATGGAACCCAGGACGTCTGCACTGAGATACATCCCAGATTTTTTTGGTTTTGTTTTTTCTTTTCTTTTTGCGACAGGTTCTCCTTCAATCACTAAGTTGCCCAGGCCAGGCAGGCTTGAATAGCACCCCCACCCGTTCTGCTTGCTCCCCACCCAGCCTCTCCTAACCCCTGATCTGCTTTTCTTCTCTGTTATCTGTGCCTCCTGCCTCAGCCTCCCCAGAGTGCTGAGCTAATAGGCATGAGCACCACGCCCAGATGGGAACAAACTTTTAAAGCGATTCTTGATCCTACGAGGGTCATTTCTTTCAGGTCTCTACAATCCTTGTACCACTTTCTATTTTTGGCGTTTTTCGCAAAAAGATGTAACCATATCCAGAGAGGTTCAGTCACTCACCGAGGCACAGCAGTGAGGAGTCTGGGGAGCTGCCTCAGTGAAGGAAAGCAAGGATTTTCAAGAGAGTCCATTTGGATTTCTAAATTCTCTTCATGGTAACTGTACTGCATACCTAAAATGTACCAATAAACTCAATAAAAGAAAAAAAATAAATTTTCTTCATGGCTTTGGGATTGGATGAATAACCTCTTACAGATGTTGGAGGGTCCTGGTTTGTAGCTATTCAGTGAACAAAGATGCTTTTCGAAAGTTGTCACAAGGGCTGGGGATTTAGCTCAGGGGTTCTGCCGCCTGCCTTGCAAGCACTAGGACCTGAGTTCGATCCCCGGTACCAAAAGAAAAAAAAAAAAGTTGCCATGAGCCTGAAAAGGGTTCGAAACCAAGGCAGGCTGCAACTTTGGTCTTCCTGGAAAGCTAAGTGTTTTACCTAAATTACCTTCACCTTCATATGCTGAAAAGGTCACCATTCAACAATCAAGAGACAAATAATCACTTTTTACAAACAGCCTAAGAATATGAATAGGAAGAATTTTGATTTTTCCCAAAGAAGACAAATGAAGGCCAAAGCACCCTGAGACAGGACTTCTTCCCACTGCGGTGGCTACAATCAAGTCGATAACCCCGGCCGAGAAGGATGTGGAAAAAGAGAATCCTGCCGTCCTCCTGGCAACCGTGGGCACGACTAACAACAGCCCCAAAGCGGAAACAACCTAGATGACCTAGATCGACAATGCATAGCCAGCAGGCCCAGCCAGGCCACACGATGATGCGGGAGCAGATGCGAGGTCCTGGGGTGCTGCCAGGTGGGTGAAGCACGCAATGAACATCGCATGAGAAGAGGAAAAACAGAACAACCAGATGAAAGGACCACGTGGCACTACGGCACCGACAGGAAACGCCCAGAATAGGTAACAGAGAAGAAAAGCAAGACAGGGGTTAGGAGAGGGTGGGTGGGGAGCGAGCAGGACGGCGTCTTTCTGAAACACTACAGAAATTCAGGAATCATATAAGGGCAACCTTAGAACTGTGCTAACAACAACTGTATCGTACGCCTTCAAGGTGGATTTGAGGGGAGATTTCCCGCGTGTCTCTGTCCACACACACACACACACACACATAGACTCAGGTATGTGCCATCAGGTGGCCCTGACATCGCCCCATTCTTGCTCACAGTCTTCGTGTACAAAGCAGGAAATGGTTTTGCAGGGCCCTGGTCGCTGGGCCATGCTAAGTGTGAGCCGCCCGCACATCCCGGCCCTCGCCCCAGCTCGTTCCAGGGGCCACCTGCCCACACACCCAGGAACCTTGCAAGCTGGGTGATTCCAAGTTTATCTGGTGGCCACTTCTTCAGATTCATAGAGACGTAGATCATGTGACTATAAAATCTACCAAGGTAGGTGAAGTCTACTAATTATTAAAACTTAAGCGTCTTTATCAGAAACTTAAAAGGATTCTGTTCAAACGTATGTAGCCTCGGCCCAGGGATTGGTGCAGTGCCTGCCTGGCAAACTCAAAGCCCTGAGTTCGATTCCTGGAATCAATAAAAAAAAAAAAGGTATGCAGCCCAGTGGTACTTGTTAGTGGATTTTGATTGGATTGAATCCTGATGAGAACACCTAAATTATCCTCAGGACCTATAAAGTCAAGGCGTATCCCAATCCTGACATCTATGTGTATTTACATGGCCACTCTGACAGGAAGGAAATACACTAGAGTGATTAATTCACCTAGAATGGGTCTATGTCAGAAGTGTCACGAGCTCGATTTCGGGGTAGTGGCAGCGTGGAGTTTCGGCTGAAATTACATGAGAAAGGGACTGTTGTATTGTGCAGCAGAAACAGAATGTGACCCTACATGTAGTGTAAGATTGTCTAGTAGCCACATTTAAAAAGTAAAGGACTAGAGAGCTGGGCATGGTGGTTCATGCCTGTAATCCCAGCGCTGTGGAGGCCGAGGCAAGAGGATCACAAATTCAAGTCCAGTCTGGGCTTCGTAGCGAGTTCAGTACCACCCTCCAAAAAAAAAAAAAAAAAAAAACAAGCCACAGATAACAACAAAAACAGAAAAATGAAACAAAACCCAGAAAGGTAAAGGACTAGAGTATAGCTCAGTGGTAGAGTTTGCTTAGCATGTTTGGAGTTTTCCACGCCGCTAGCACCACCCAAAAAAAAAAAAAAAAAAAGTAAGGAAACAGGCAAAATTAATGTCATGTATATTCGATATAGGGTATATATTTACTGTATCCAGTAGGGTCAGTATATCTACATATTATCCCTATATATGAAGTCAATGGAGATAATCTGCATTCTTTTCTTCATACTTCATAGGTCTCCAAAAGCCACGGAACTCTGGTCTTTTAGTATTTACAGCTCAGCTCCAACTCTGACTGCCCACATTTTAAAGGCTCAGTAGCTGCATGTGGCCAGTGACCACTGAACTGCACAAACAGCTCCAGAGCTGTGAGGTGTAATAATAATAGTTATCGTATTAACAACAGAAGCAGCGCTTCAGATCTCTTTGGAAGCCATCGCTGTAAGGTTTTGGCTTGTATTAGCTCACTTAATCCTCACACAACCACATGAAATAAGTTTTTTGGTACCAGGGATCAAACTCAGGACCCTGTGCTTGCAAGGCAGGCAGCGGCAACACTGAGCTACGATCCTGGCCCTGAAATCGATTATTATCCCATTTTACAGAAGAGGAAACTGAGTCCTAGAGAGGTCTGCCCGTTTGCCCCAAGTCACATCCAGGATATTTCCAAAGATCATGCTTCTTGCCATTCTGCTCTACTCCTTGGGGCCTGCCTGCGATTCTCCCAGCAGTGTGACTGAGAAGTGGCAGTAAAGCCAGCCCTGTGCTGCTGGCTGCCAGGTAGGTTTTACTTCCTGTGCCTGTCTCTCCGCTGCAGAGAATCTGATAAGGCACAGCCCTCAGCCCTTCGGGCCCAGGAAGCGTCCGATGTGCTCACCAGCTCAGCAGACTTCCGAGATTCCTCCATCTCCCCAACCCTGCTGCACCTCTTTGCAGGTATTTCGCAAACTGGCAACGGTCAAGGGCACAGATACAGCAAGGCCTCATGACGCGGATCATTTCCCCAATCACACAGCACTTTTGCAAGTTCACAGCACAGACTTCCCTGGAGAATGATGCAATCAATGGAAGCTGGGAAAATGAATGTTTCCTTTTGAGTCATAAACTGTTCAACCTGTTTATCCTGTTTCTAAAAGTATGACTGAACTCAAATTTTCTACATTTAGACAAAACTTCGATTACTTCTTGACAACCGGATTGGACCTGGTAGCTAGTTCGGCGCAATGAGGCACTTTTTTATGTGGCGTGTACAGTGTAGGGGAAACAGCCCAAATATTGATGTTCCCTTGCCTTAGAAATGCTTCTGCTTTCCTTACCCCAAACTGGACAGGAATCATAAGGTGGAGAAGTGTGGAGAAGGTGTAACATGAAAGATGGCAGAGTGCTTGCCTAGCACACAAGAGGTCCTGGGTTCAATATGCGATATTAAAAAACAAACAGCAAACAAAGCGATGCTGTACTGTTTGTGAGTCACAGAGGAATTGTAATGTGCTCTAAACTTTACCGTTTTTCTCTAAGGAGTGGTTTGAACGCGGAGTCTACTCGGTGCTTAAAGATGTGCCTCTTTGGGCCTCGGAGAACTGAGCACTGATCTCTACTAACTCTGGAGCGAATGGACGGCAACCCATAGGGCAAGAGAGGACAGCCCAGCAGTGAGCTGGAGCTGGAACTGGGCCGAGAGAGTGAACAGGTCAGAAAAGCATGAATCCTGTACCTGCTGGGGCTGGGGTGTCAACGAGAAGCTGGTGAGTCCGGCCTCAGAACCCAGGCAGCTCTGGAAATGAGGACACCCTGATCCCTGGGGTTGGGGGAGAGCCTCCAGCTACACACGACCAGAAGTGGCTACTTTCAGCCTGTCCAGGGAACTATGGAACATTCATGTTCACCCCCATCCCAGGTAGCTGGATAACTGACCGACTGTCCTAACTCAGCAGGAGTCGGGGGCCGATTCCACACAAGTTTCCAGCCAAGTGGATCGCAGCTTGGAGGTT